GGGCCTGATATTAAAAGGGTTTGCATTCTTCAAATAATAAATAGTTCTTTGTTTTTTCCCATTTCACATTGTTTCTAATTCCTTGTTAAAGATGAACTTTTTTATATATAAATATTTAGGTGTTTCTGATGATATTCTTCAGCCATATCCTGAAGTTGTAATCACTAAAAGATATGAACCATTAAAATAAACTTTTTATAATTGTAAATGCAGTACATTTTCATTATGGATGTTTTGGGAAATAAATTTTAAAAAGAAGAAAATAAAAATTACCTCATTGTTTTCCAAAGAGACCCAACATCCCTTCTATCCACATTTTTGTAGTTTGCTTCTTACTGGGGTTGAAGGGAGTTTCTCAATGACTGCCTGGAGAAGAGCAAGCCTACTTACAGCCCATGTTATTGTTAAACTGGCAGATTAGAAAATAGCTGCATGCTAAGTACTTATTAGGAAGTAACATCTAAGACACAGTGTCCCGTTGATTGCCCTAATAGTTTTAGAGTCCTTCAGTATCGTCCTACCCTAAATGCTAAAAAGAACTGTCAGTATTCCTGAATTCCATCCTATTGCTACCTCTGCAGAATTTTTTCCCGCTGAATTTTGAGTTAGTGTGAGTCTGCTGGTTTGTTTCAAAAGATGTGTTGTGAGAAACTGTCTTGAGAAAATTGCTTCTGTTTACCATCCAGTAGTTCACAGGAGAAATTGTTGTCCTTTTACTGAGTTGAAGAAAGAAAATTTGATGAGGAAACTGGAAATGCAGGTGGTAGAAACTTAATCATATTGTGTCTGGGGGCTATTTTGTGATTGATAGAAAATAAATTATTTCTGTGGGAAGTAATTAGTCAGCTTGAGCACTGTTTAACAGATTTCTAGAGCCAAGCCAATTTTATTTGATCCTGCCTTTTATAAACTGGTAAATAAAAATAAGTGTGACAGATTTGAGACTTTACAACTTATTTAGGAACACAGAAGTGAAATCAATGTTTCATCCTCTGAAATAATTTTAAATACTTGAATTTTCCTTCTCTTTCAGTTCCAGGAATGGATGGAGGTGCTTTAACTGATACAAGTCTCACAGATTCCTATTTTAGCACCAGCTTTATTGGAGTCAATGGATTTGGAAGCCCTGTAGAAACAAAATATCCCCTGATGCAGGTATCCTCAGTATAAATTCATGTTGCACTATGCAGTTTATTCTAGGACCAGGGGACATATAGAGTCTTCATTTATTCCTACATTTATTGAGTGGGAGGTGAGATTTTAGGAGGCAGTGAGATGGGTGAGATGTAGGTAAACTATCTCCCATGGGGTTGGAGTTAATGAGAGCTTTTATAAGTGGGGGTTTGGTAGGGTTAGGGGCAAGAGTGACGAGAGTATGTAGAGAGGGTAGTTAGAGACTAATTTCACTTGTGTGTTTTGTTTGTTTGTTAGTTAAACTTGGTAGTGATAGCAATTTTGTTTTGTTTTGTTTTGAGACGGAGTCTTGCTCTGTCGCCCAGGCTGGAGCGCAGTGGCACAATCTCAGCTCTGCAAGCTCCACCTCCCGAGTTCACGCCATTCTTCAGCCTCAGCCTCCCGAGTAGCTGGGACTACAGGTGCCCGCCACCACGCCCGGCTAATTTTTTTGTATTTTTAGTAGAGACGGGGTTTTACCGTGTTAGGCAGGATGGTCTTGAACTCCTGACCTTATGATCTGCCCACCTTGGCCTCTCAAAGTGCTGGGATTATAGGCGTGAGCCACCACGCCTGGTCGATAGCAATTTTAAAATTATGTTTTGAGCAGATTATACATGTATTATGAAAGTTAAGTTACAAAAGGGCCTCCCTTCCGTCGTTACTCATCACTTTTCCAGTTAACCTTCCTAGAGGTAGCTACCATTACTGGTTAGAAGTTTCCTGTGTATCCTCTCAGGAATACTCTTTGCATTATAGAAGCATAGTGCTAGTTTTATTTTGTTTAATGCTTAAAATGTTAAATTTAAAGTCATAGTACTTGGGGCATTTTACGTTAAAAATGTCTTTTAATTTTTTTTGACCCCACTTTGTTGTTTTTGGCTCTTTTTTCCCCCTTTGTTTATCATATGACTGCATGCAATGCTTAGGAGATTTGTTTTTAGATTAGTTTTTGTTGATTAGTATTGCACAATGTTGTAGAATTGGAATAAAATTGGCAAGTATTCTAGTGTTTTTAATTGGAAAACTGCCATAATAGTAAAGGCAACGTATTGTCCTTTCTAGTTTCTGTGATGTACTACTGGATGGTTTTCCCCAGTATTACAATACGATATTTGAACACATTTCTCTCTCGCCCTCTCGCTCTCTCTCTCTCTCTCTCTCGCTCTTGCTCGCTCGCTCACTGTGTCACCCAGGCTGAAGTGCAGTGGTGTGATCATGGCCCACTGCAGCTTCAACCTTCTAGGCACAAGTGATACTCCTCTCTTGCCTCAGCCTCCTGAGTAGCTAGGACTTACGGGTGTGTGCCACCATGCCCGGCTAATAAAAATAATTTTAGCAGAGATGAGGTCTGTGTTGCCCAGGCTAGTCTCAAACTCCTGGTCTCAAGTGATCCTCCTGCTGTGGCCTCCCAAAGGAGGTATTACAGGTTGGGATTACAGGCATGAGCCACCACTCCTGGCCTAGTGTTTGTACTTCAAGCTGAACTGATTTTAAGGGTCTGTATGAAACCAATGCTTTTTTGAATTATTTTAACTTTTATTTATTTCTTGTAGCTATGCACTCTAAAGGTTGTTTATAAACAAACATGTACAGTCATATATAGAAATGGTTATATTTTATGAACAATGTAACTAGTTTATTGTATAGTTGTACCTTCTTTTAACTGCCCGTGAACCACAATTTCAGGTACTTTTTAATATATATTTTTGTATTAAAATTACCTCAGGAACTTAGCTTTTTTCTTCTCTTTTAAAATTATGCAGACATTAAATAAGAAGTTGAGCAAACAGATTCAGGACTCTAGAATTAAAGCCAGAGCTAGAAATTCCTAACTTATAATTTTTAAGGCATTGAGTTAGATGTTGTATATGAGACAACGATTTGTGGGTATGGGATGAAGGACCTTAAAAGATGGAGAGACCATACAGGCTATGGAGTGAGTCCAGAAAGCATAGAACGTGTTTAGAGAACAGAAAATATCCTACTTTTATAAGCTGTGTAAGGTGTATGAATGATAGTACAAATTGAGAAAGGATATTAGAGCATTTACTGGTTTTATTCATAGTCAGCATGTACCCTCCTCA